TGATACGTCGTATAAATCAACTAAATGTTCTACTATAACTATAAACAACTAACAAACTAAATTACCAATAGTTACAAATATGCAAAATATAATTTTATATCGATTAATAACGACTAATAATACAATTTTTTTAAGTCTGTATTATCAAACGATAATCGATCGAAAAAATAAAAATTTCATATAAAAATCAAAAATGTATTTAAATATTAAAAAGTGCATTTTCGCATATAGACCTCTTAATACACGTGAATTCACGTTTCACGTGTCACGTGTAAAATCCAATATAAAAACGTAGGTATAACCTTAACTTAATACTGTACTTATAATATTTATTAAAACTTCAAGTGCATAACATAAAATTACTAATTTTCATCATTATAAAAATGGATATATATATATATATTTGGATAAACACGTATTTCACGTGTACACGTGAATTCCGTGACACGTGCTTTATGAGCTCTATTTACATATGTACTTGTATATTTTTAGTTATGTATGTATTTAAATATTGTTTAGTTTCAAAAGTGATCTGATGGCGAGTAGAAATGCTGTTTTTTTTAAATTTTTAACGGGACTGTTAAATGGATCGAACAAAATAGGAGTACTTATATTGTTTGCGATATGCTTCGTAAAAAAATCTTAAAAAAGAAGCAAGAGTCTTTTAAAAAAAAAGTTTATGGACTCGACAATGGATTAGTAGAAAAAATAGTGTTGGCGCATCAGTTTGTTTTGAATTAAGAAATCACATTGATCACGTGGTTCACTATTCGTGTTCGGGAATAAACTGGCCTAAAATTACCTAATTTCATTCAACTTCCGTCCGACGTGTTGGACTGCTTGCAAGAGCTTGCATTACGTACTATAAACGTTCACGTTTGTTCAATTTTGTTCTTGCACGAGTATAAATAAGCATGCGAGAAAAAACATACAAGTGATTTCAATTGTGTGAATTCGGTAAAATGCTATAAAATATATATTTTATTAATTTACCAATATTACGGAATGATGCACCCATCACAACTGTTTTATAGTTGAATTTTTTAAAATAATTGTATATCTTGGTTACTGATTGGACACCTGGATCATTTAAGGTTTCAAAACTTTTGTTATTTGTGTTTACTACATGCCTAAAAAAAAAAAAAAAAAAAATACACATCTACCAAAATAAATGAGAAATCTTCTAATTTACCAATCGAAAATACGACCCACAAATGAAAATATTAATGTAACATCAGACTCAGCACAAGCAATGGCTTGATAAAGAGAGAATAATAAAGTTAAGTTACAATGTATACCATGTTCTTGTTCCAAAACTCTGAAAGCAATTTGAAACAAATATTTATAAAAAGTAATTTATTTATCAATAATAATTAGTATCTAAAATACTATTTCTGCTATGCTTACTTAGCTGCTTGAATACCCTCCCAAGTAGAAACTAACTTAATTAATATACGTTCTTTGGGAATTCCAGCTTTTTCGTACATTTTAATGTACTTGATAGCTTTAGCAATACTTGCTTCTTTGTTAAAAGATAATCTGAAATGTATAACTAATAACTTTATTACATTTATTCACAGGTATCAATTCTATACTATAAGATTTAAACGGGCCTCACTTTTTCATGTAAAATGTAAAAATGTTCCCTATCTTGTATAGTATGGATATACATTTATTAAAGAAAAAGCCAGTCAGTAGGGTGGCCGCGGTCAACCCAGCCACCCCCGTGCGCACGCCAATGCAAAGTTCGGCAACCTTTTGAATCATGGGGGCCATATTTTTTTTTCGAATGTTTATCAAAGGCAGCATTAAAAAAAAATATTTACATATGATAAATAGGTACTAATAATTGTATTTTTATTATATTTGATTATTTTATATAGAAATATGAGTGTAAAAAATACGATTGTTAATGGAACAAATTTAATTTTTTGACAAATTAATTATAATGGCTTACCTTTGTTTTCGACGAAAAAGTATAAATCAACTCAAAAATTATTAAAAAAAATCGATGTTCATTACAAATTTTTCTTTTTTTAGTCGCCATGTTTGGATTTACTTGTAAAATCTAACTATTACAAACACAAACAGTCACACGTACGGACGTAATCACGGTGTAATACTAATTGCTACAAACGCAAAGTAACTATGACCATAGATTCAATATATTAGATACATAGATTAAATATATTTAAAATTTTAATTTTTAAATATGTATAAGTATATTTAATTTATCCTATGACTGAGCAGTGCAGCCATCATTATTTTCAATTCCGATTAGATAGTAATAACAATTTTATAGATTAAACTGACTATATAACTATATAGAATAAACATCAACTATTAACGATTAGATTAAATTTTATTAATAAAAAAAAAAAAAAATTAAATAGTTTTGAAAATTGTATGAAAAATGTTATTGAACAAAAATAAAATACAAATATTAACCACCTTTGTGTGGGCCATAAAAAATTGCTTCGCGGGCCGCGGGTTGCTGACTCCTGATATAATTAATTGTTAACTTTACATAAATAGACGTAATTAATTCAGAATAAATTCTATTTTAGTATTGCTTATATGAAATAAATATTTAATGTACTATTTACACGTAAGGGGAGGTAAAACCTTAGTTTGCCTAGGTGTGAGTAAATATTTGAGCCGGGCCTGGTCGCACCACACCCTCAACGATTGCCACACCGACTCCTCAGAACCGGGTTTATTTATGTATGTTGTTGGCTCGGTCTTATCGCGACGATAAAAGACGGATACGAACATTCGAGAATATAATGATAGGCGACGTATAATCCTTTTACGTGCACGATATATATTTGACACTAACCGTACAACGAGCAAGTTATTTCGTTTACATGGTTAACTTTAAAAAAACGAAAGCTCATTTATAATATGTAATTTCAAGTTTTAACTACCTATACAATTAAAAAATTATACTCGTAAGTATGAATTCACAGCGTGTTGGATATGTTGACCTCGAGAATATTATCACCGCATAAGAAATAATGGCAGTATATAGGCACATTATTATAGTGCTCGTTTATTAGAAGTCGTATTTAATGTTTGTAACATCATAGGTATTAACTGTATAAAATATAAATAATAATTAGCATCTAAATTAAAATTAACTATAGATGCTTGCTTTTTGATTATTTGATAGTAAAAAAAGTAATTGTTATCATCATAAATTCATTTGTTAATTCCCGGTATCTTATACGTACATCGTAAAATCGTATTAACTATCCAAGGTTAGTAAATAAATCTTAAAATGTTTACTGATTCCAATACATTTTACAACTTGTTAAGTCATAAAATACAATATTTCTAACATTAATGGACAAATGTTATTTTCGTTGAATGCGTTACGCGCAGCATTATATCGATATAACTTATCTATTTCGATATGCCGTCGAATTATATAAAAATATCCAGCTCTATTAAAGTGCACATTACAATGAACGTGAGGTAGTTTAGTATAAAAGTATAAACACTGCCCAAAACTAGGTAATTATACCGGAGAAATAATAATATACTTCTAATAATATAATGAAAAAAAAATCGAATGCCTATGGACGGTGTAACCATGAATGATAACGATTTTATTGGATTTTAGATTTTATTACTTTATTTTAATACCTGTCGTAAGATTTTTACATGTCCTAATGACTAAGTAAATTACTTTGTAGCGATGAAAAAATATTAAATATTTATTGCGCTTTTAGTAGCATGAAAATTGATTTATAAATACTTTCCAAACGATTAGTTTTGTAATGTTTCTTAGTTATTACGTATGAAATCAAGCACATAGAATACTAATTTTATATGGCAACTGAAACGAGAAACAATTAAACATTAATTATGAAATTATGTAATCAATTGCTGTTTGAATTACATAAATACACGATCGAAGTCATCATTCCGTATACTTATCAACATTTTTAAACTAAAAATATAGTAAAATAAGTCGTGCAATTACAACTATATAAATACAACATAATATGATATGAGAAGTAATGACAGGTGGCACACTATTTTCCATCTATGGAACATTGAGGGGCCCATAGGCGTATATGTGGTCACATCCTTGGGGGGCTTAACATTTTTGTCTTATCCATTAGCGTAAACAGATATTTTCAGACGCTTCAATCTACTAACTAGTGGTTACTCCTACTTTATTCTAGTTGAGATACCAAATATATACAGTTAATAGGACCATACAAGTGTAAAAAATTGAATAGCTACTTTTTTTAATTTTAATTATATAAATCTATCCTTTATTTCCTTTATTACCCAAAAAATATGGTTTTCCCCAAATAACGATAATCCGTAAATATTCCAGACCATTCTCGCATACCAATAAAATAAAATAAAAATTAAGCTTAAGCATCCCCCCCCAAGTCCCCCCAATATTCGCCTATGTACGCACCACTTGCATTTTTTTATACTAACCCACGATACTCCACGATAGTATCTAGTTCCAGAGACAAATTTTTAACTCGTTTTTTTTGTACTTAAACTAACTAGCGATAAATAATTATCAAAAAATATATTATATACTATATGCGGTCCATTTGCACAGTTCTAGCATTACCCTAGTAGTTATAATTAAAAATAATCCATAGTAATATATATATTATATAGAAATATATTCTTAATAAATTGATCTTTTTTTCACAATCGATTATAAGAGAATTTTAAACAATCATGATATATTTGATATTTGAAAAATAACCTTAATAAATCTAACTAAAATAAATTTTAGTTAGAGAAAAGAAAAGTTCAAACTCGGGAAAATGTTATCAATTTAGAATAGTAATGTAACTATTCGATTTATTTATTGAACACCTAAATTTAAATATCTACTTAAATCTGAACGTAAATCCAAATTCGATCTAAATTAGAATACGTTTCTTTCGTGTAGTCTTCCTATTTGCAAGAGTGCATATTTTTTTGTTTTTTTTTTTTGGTTAATAATCTAACTCGGCATTAAAAAGAGTTTTTCTCAATATAAAAATGTTGAATCGAAAAATCGTCGGTTATATGAAAATTAAAATCTCAAAAAATTATCGGTGGTTCAATACAACAATTTAACAGGCATTAAAAAAGTGTACTTTTTTCGTATTTAAATAACATTGAAAAAATAAATAAATTATATTTTCAGTTGAACAAGATGTCAGAATGTCAACAAGTTGTACATTTTTTTTATTTTTTATTTATAAATAGTATTTTTGGGTATATTAGTAATCTATTAACAACATCGAACGTATTTTTTTTTGAATTCAAAATAATTTTCTCGCACAATCAACATTTTTAACGCATGTATTACACAGTTTTTCCGCGGGTATTTCACGTTTTTCAGTTCCTAAAACTTCCGAGCACTACTTATTGTATACTTAACGTTTTTGTACGCGGGACAGTGGTGGTGTAAAAAGTGTAAACGGCGAGTGGGAATCGATTCGGTTCGCGCGCCATACAAATCGTACAGGAATACAGCGCGCGCGCGGGAGCGTCACGATATGGATATTGTAAAATTTTTCAGCTAAGACGAGAAACCTAACGTGCCCGGGGGTGAAAAAAAAAAAATTAAAAAACAACACCCGCGAACGCGTTACGGCAATAAATAATTTATTATCGTACAACGTCTCGTACGTCGGGTAAACAATAGAACGGGATTACGACCACGTTCGGTCGGGTACCACCGTTGTGGTCGTTGTGCTGTTGCGAAGTACGTGTACGAACGGCGGACACGTGGACCGCCCGTAACAGCGTAAGTCACGGCGTTGCGCGTACGAACGCGAACAAATGCGTTTTATTTTTTTTTTTTTTTGAAAGCGGTCGTCAGCGCCGCCGGACGTTCGCAACAACGATATTGCGAGATCGATATTGATTTGTCTCACGTGCGCGGGTGGGCTGCGAAGAAGGCGAGTGTGTGAGAGAGAAAATCAACGAACTATTGCTGCAAAAGGATCGAACAAAACAACTTAACAACAAACATACTCGGTCACCGCCGACGCGCATTTGTTTTCGCCCGATAAATCGCACGCACGGGGTGGATTTTTTCCCGGTAAACGACGTTCGCGCCGTCTGCGATCGTTCCCGGGCAATTCAAAAGTCGCGTTCGGTGTGCGAATACAGTTTCGTGTCACAACTGCCCGTCAAAGTCGTCCGAGACCTGCACTCGCTGTTGTCACGCACGGTCGCCGCCGTGCGCTCGTTTCGCAATTCGATCGGGACAAGATCATTATTGTTATTTTTTTTTTTTTAAATCATCGATACATTTTTACTTATTTGTATACGTTTCGGGCAATGCTTGTGTTGGAAACGGAGAGTAATGCGCATTTTTAAACTACGGCAGACACGTTAAAACAATTGTTACAATAAGGAACGATATACGAAAAACTACAAATAACGCGATGTAGATATTAGAAATATGTTTGGAACAGATGCTTACTGCAAGGAGCTTAAATAAAATATTGTTGACCGATAAAAACGACTGGCTTTAGTTCAACTCTGAAAATGACCATTTGTGTAATGGTTTTTTTAGAGTTACTATGCATACCGCGCATGGTTTTTTTGTGCTGAAAAGGCATTGTATTGAAATATGTGGGTTCTAAATAATCGAATGACCGAAAGATTTCTTTGTAAATTTCAAACAGGAATATTATACACTAGATGATATTTTTTACTCACAAGTTAATTACTTTTATTAGCTTTAATAAAATGATTAAATATAAACATAATTGTAATTTTTTTGTAGAGAGATTTAATAGCGATACACTCAGATCTCAATGATTTTGATTTGTTGATTTTTCTAAAGTACATTTATTTAAACAGATCCTGATATTATTTTGATAAGTTTGAAGATTTTTTCAGTACACTAACACTTGTTTACGTACATCCCACACTAATAATCCATATTGATAAATTTACTGATATGATGCATAGTATACTATACGGATTGTTT